GTCCAGAGTTAACTTTTTGCGTTCCAGAGCTGCATAGGTGTGAGGGTATATAAGAGAGCACGATTCAGTAGAATAAACAATTGGAGATAACGAAGAGTCTTTACTGGCGCAGTCGATTTGGAGAATGGCTGGGTCACCGTCCGGATCTATGCCTACAGATCTGTGAGTCACGCAGATTCATTCATGGAGAGTTGTTGGAGAACTTCAATAATACAAGGATCCCGTCTCTGTCCGAGACAAGGCACTGCTCAAAGCTGCGAGTCGCTCAGTCTGGCACCGTAGAAATTGAGTGCTGGTGTAGGGCGTCAAGAAAATCGGAGGCCGGAATGACCTTACACTACAGTCCGAGTGGGGTCCCCCTTCGAAAATCTCGGCCCCATTGGATTGAAGTTTTCCAAGAAGTGTCCGAATGATTCCCATTTTACGCTCAATCCCAGAAGGGATTGGATCAAAAGTCCGGGGGTGTGAGGGTATATAAGAGAGCACGATTCAGTAGAATAAACAATTGGAGATAACGAAGAGTCTTTACTATAGGTAGCGTAGAGTCGTCGTGCCGCGCACGGGCCTCGGAGTCAGATAAGGGTCAATTTTGAACTGGGATTGGCTTAGATTTTTATTTATATCGCATTATTGCACAAACGTGAAACAAAAACATGTCATCAGCGAAAATGGAATACTATTAACAATAAAATGAATCGTCGAAGTCTCGGGATAAACTTCTGAAACAAGTCTCTATGAGTATCGTTGTCGTGTGTTCTGTGGATATTCCGCATACTGTAGCGCTTTGATTGACCAAGTCCTGGTCGGTAAGGAGCCGCGTCCATCCCGTGGGACAGCCATGTGAGCGTTGAGATGATTTTCATGAGCACTCATCACAACTCTTCGGTTTCTTCGTTGATATTAGTCAAGTCCGCGATGTAGTCTATGGCGCACTGTAGAATCTCTAGAGACGTCATCTTCTGCCGACTGTCGTTCTGGATCGGGAGCAGCTGTTGAAGAACTTTTAGCACGTCCAATTCTTCGTTGGCAAGAACCACATCCGTCTTGGTTTCTTTGCCTAGCCTCAGCTGCTCAACCTTGTCGGTTAACTGTGACTGGAGAATCATCATGGGAGACGCTATTCTCCGGGAGCGTGTTCGCAAGACAGGTATAACTCCTCAGAGTTGCACGCACCACATTCGGTAGGTGACCGTATGGAATTTAAGGAGGTCCCAGCTTTCAGACGTCGATCTTCAAGCTCTGATAGCGAATTGATCGCAGAACAACAGAGAGACCCGGCTGTAGGTTCAACGCTCCGCCCATCGGCGAGGAGGAGCCGGTGAGAGGAAGCACGTCTTTCATTGTGAGAAATTCATAAGGAGCTCGATACTACCCCTCAAAGGTGTAGAAAGCAAGAAGATTGGAGAACCGCCCGTTAGTGAGGCTCTTGGTTCGCGCGCCGTCCTTTAAATTACGCGAATCCGACTCACAGTGAGTCCTGACTTCGAGGGACCACCGTACGACGGGACCTTATGACTAGGAATGTAAATTTTTCGCGAACCGCCATTTTTCCGCGAATATCCGCGGAAATTTCCGGCTACTCCCTATAGAGTTTCAATGAAGGCCGCGAATTCGGCGGATATTTCCCGCGAAAAATTTACATCCCTACTTATGACTCATCGGACCGTTTCCCCCCAATCACCTCAGAGGCCTATTATTGTAAACTGGAGCCGTAGTCGGACCAACTAAGTTATCAGAGCGAATTTCAACGGCATCGCGCGTGGTCCGATTAGAGGTGTTTCTTTGTACATCACGGGCGGAAGGAGATCGACGCCCTTAGATGATCGAAGCTTAGAAGACCCCGAGAGCGAGGACGCAAGATAACTCCGATGATTGTTACACGACTCTGCGACATGGAATTCCCGAGAGTCAGCAAGTGGGTTCCAATGAGCCCGGAGGGGGAGATGGTGCATCCGAAAAGTCTGGTCGCACATTCGGAGAGTATCGGCAAGGTGGGATGGACGGAGGGCCACGCTGTGCGATGGCGAAATACGCTCCCATCGATGAGGCGATCGCGCAACGTCTCAGAAGATCCCGCAAGCTACCGTCCGAGATAATCCACGGTCGGGTTGTGAGTTGTGAGCAAAGAGCAGAACTAATTGCCTTCGATCATAACGATTCCGCGGATCTGATTGTTCGGATATTCGATGAGCGAAGAGGTCAAATGTTTTATCTGCTCGCGGCGTTGTTATGACGGGGACGGCGGTTTCCATAAGATCCGTATTTCTCACGCTCCTCTGGAAATGCTCGTTCTCACCACTCGCTCACTAACGTCCGTGTGCTTCCATTCAAATGTTTTAACGTGCGACTAGCGAGAATCTCTCTCGATACAATCGAGAGAGATTCACGAGTTCTTCACCGGGATTCGGTTATGCCTGTGAATGACCGCTGATGAAGTCTCCTTTTTCGAGATTCAGTTTTCCAAACTTGTCTTCCTGGACTTACAATTAGAGCTAGCGCCCATGACATTAAAGAATGCCTCTCGAATCTTGCCGTCGTATCGCCGTTTCGTCAGAGGATTCGCGAGGCTCGCATCTCGATCTGATGCCGTTCGAAGGAGATCCGAGGACAACCCTCGAGTGAGATCATTCAGTCTCTGGATCACAGCTCGAAGATGAGAAAATTCCCAATCCGAAGCAGATCATGGTGAGCAGGAGAGGTCTTCTCTGAAAACTCACGTTCGAAACTCCGCCGCCCTTTCAGAGCCTCGCGCGAGTTTCGGAATCATTCTTACAGAGACTCTGGGCGGTCTCGGTACGCCGTAGCCCGGGAAGAATATTTTTGGTATTCCACAATACTACAGAAAATCGGACATTCAGACCACTTTTCAACCCCCGAGAAATGACACTACCGTCGCAAACATTGATGCACACCTCCGCGTCTCGACATCCTGCCTCCGCAGCTCGTTGTGTGAGCTGACGCAATGTTGACAGTCCGATCGACTCTTTGTGGCGTCCCGCTCGCTCCAATGCTCAGCCGGAAATCGGGGAAAATCTTCCACGGACTAAGTAGTTTGCGCGATCGCTGACGTGGGAGCCGGTCGGGGACTTGAGATGTTGTAGCATATGTCAAGTAGGTAAATACGCTGGCGCCGCGCCGTCTGTGCGGCTTTGCCGGTCTGAGGAGAACGATTGTGGTCAGCGATGGGCCGCTCGAGCCCGATCCCATTCTTGCGAGGCACTAAGATCCCCAAATACCGTCCCTGGAAGAATCTGAGCGACTGAGGTTTGAGGCGAGCGCGAGCGTTAATAATTCTTGATCTCAATCCATGGGAATTATCCGTCAACTCCGGGGCCTTTGAGGAGTCCTACGAATTCAATCGAGCATCCAGCTCTATCATCATAAGAAGCCAAGCCCCTCCAAACAGAGGGAGCGATCCTTCAACCATCATTCCCGGCTCTCGCTGGCTTATATAAGTATCACCACGGCTCGACTCGATCCTGAGCCCATAAGAACATCGAGCCGTGCCGCAGCTGCTTCCCTACGCGGCTCCCAATCTGCGATGCAGAACGGCCTCCGATGGGGCTTCCCGATTCTCGCTTCTCGATTCTCTCTATAAGGCCATATTCATTAGCTATTTTCAAATCTCTCACTTCGTGAAACTTGAGGAGAATTCGTTCTCGCAACCTAGTCAATCGATCCCCATAAGCTCCGAATCTCGTCAGCGAGACCCCGTGAAACGGTAATCATCTGAGATTCCGAAGGCTCCCTCCCCGACAGGATGGTTCGCCAGCATATTTGCTGACGCACGGCGTTAGCTCGTGTGGAGTCCCTCTATGGGACCTATTCCATTCTCAGTTCCATCATGCTGGATTCACAATTGTGTTTTACCGCCTCTAAGCTCGATTTAGGGATGGGATTCGCCCTCTGAGAACTTCAACGTTGCTCTTCCGAGACTCCATTTCTATGACGGAAGTCAGAAATGAAGTCTTCACGTGATTGAACAATACGAAAGCGCTACATTCCAGGACATTTTCTTGATGGGGGTATTGCTCTGTCGCTCAGGGGGGTTCCTCCCGTTGCGGATGCGGGCGCAGAGGATGCCGAAGGTGGAGAAGCGGCATACACCGATGGTGACCCACCGGTTTCCCGCTCCTTGCACGATGAACACCAAGCTGGCATCGATTCGCTTGTTAACATAAGTAATTATGAGAGAAGAAAACTGTTCCGACCTCTGCCTTCAGACTTTGCTTAATTAGGTAATCTTAGTCGAGCTTCGCAAGCCGATGACGGCTTCGGAGCACGACGCAAAAGGAATCCCGCAGTCTCACCCAAATGTCGCTGATAGCTGAGAGGGCAAAACTCCAGGATCTGGTCTTCCCCCTACGGAGGAGGAAGATCGCCATCCAAGGCATCCCGCTCAGGCTAATGGCTCCCGGGAGATCGCGGTAACGACTCCGAACAGCAGGCAGAAGAGAGAGTATCGGATGACATTGGCCCCGAATGGTCACCCGCCAGCGGAATCTCGCCATCAGTGCTGCCCAAGATTCTGGGAGAGCAAACACCTGCGAGAGCCTTCTCGAGTCCTTCCTTCTTGGAAACTTCCGTAGAGGGAACTCCGGCCTTGAAACAGAAATTTGCTCAGATATTCATATTAATTTTCGATAGAAGATGAAGACAGCCCGGCCTTCTCGGGCTTGGTGACAGACGAAGAGAGCCGTTGCCCAAAGATTCGTGGTTTCATAAGGAACCTAACGGCGAGGGAGACCGGGAAGCATTCTTCGCCGGTCGCTGATCATCGGAACGCAGAAAAATGGAAGCTCCCGTTCCCCTAGGCTTGAGCAAGGATCTCGGTGGTGACAATGGCACAGGATCAACCGAAGAGCGATGGATGGACGCTCATGAACGCGAGACGAAGTGCTCAATTATATGCACCATCTATTGGCTTGCACTTGTGAGGATTTCGAATATGGCGGTTTCGCAACTTGAATTTCCCGCCCAACACCTCTCTCTCCCGCCATGTTCGTTGGTCGCTGTGTATTGAGAGTTGACAAGCCATCCAGCGAAGGATCTCTGAGCCAGTTCTGCGGCAAAATATCTGCTCGCTACGAGTTTGTGGTGAGTATACTCGATGCTGAGTTATAACTCGATTGGGATGAAGCTTACCGATTCAAATCCACCGACTCTTGTCCGCGCTGCTCGCCGGCGAAACGTCAAAAGCTTGTACACGTCACGGCGACACCGGGCCCTTTTTCATCCCGATCTTCCTGTGGGTCTCGATTGCGAGACATCTCTCAGGTTCCCAAGCGCTGGTTCGATCAATCATTCGAGTTCCCGACGCGGTCTCCGCTCGGCTTCGGTCCTAGGTCGCGGGATAACCTGGTCGGTGCCGTTTTTTCTTGAACACCGTGTACAGGGCAACATCATGGGCTCTCTTATCTTCGGTCGGTTGCGTGGCTCGCCTGGCGAATGCTGAACCCGCAGTTCACTGTCGGAGCGACACATGATCACGGAGCATATTCTCAACGGAATGAGCGATTGAAGGATTATATCTGAGTAGAAGAGGTCTCCAAAACGTCCGGGAACATCCTCGGACACAATTGATGGCCGAGCTCAGGATAATTCAGCTTGTATGTGGCCATACCACTACCGGTCACTTCCTCGTTGTGATGCGATGTTTTGCAGAACTGAGATCGGATCCTCCGCCGGTTTCTCATGCCGCTCCTCCTTCTCGGCTCAAGTAATGATTTCCAATAGTATCGATCGCGTATGAGCGTCGCATCCGTTTTTCACGGGAAGCATAGACGCTCGTGGGGTCGATTGAATTAGGAACTGTCTCGTGATTCGTGATGCTTTATTCCGACTGTTTTGTCTGTCTCGTACTGCGTGCTCGCCGACACAGGTGGTATTTATATCCGCTTTTTGCCCGAGTAGACACCAGGGTCTTCTTAAACACTGTTTAAGAAGAGGGCTCGCTACTAGGACCATGCATCTCCTTATCCTAAACCAAGTAGGTGACGGAGGCGGATGACTATTAACGCAGAGCACTGGTATCAAGGCTTCGGCAAGCATGAGATTCGAAAGTGTCGACGGATATCTCGACTCTAGAGCGCTCCGAGAAGGACTCTAGCGAGCGCTGTATTTTGGGGCGAGCGACCATTGAACTTTCTAACGCGAGCGAGGAGCTTCACCGCGCATCGCTAATCCGCGAGTAGAATCGTGAAGCCACATTCCAAGACCGAACTGCACAGCGAGCGTTCGTTAAGTAGTTTTCCTCGTTGCCGACGCCATCTACCGGATTCTCTTCTCCACGAATGGGTCATTTCGAAGATTCGTACTCAGAGTACCCGATAGCTCCCCAGATCCCGGATTAGGCGATACCCATTTTAGGACAGAATGTTTTCTCGCACTGGATTCCAGCGTGTCAACAGGACCATCTGCCGAGTTCCCCAACAAGTTCGTCACAGATCCGGAAATCCGACGATCTAACATCTGTGCTCAAATCACATTCGCTGGCCATCGATAAAGTTTGAGCAGCGCGGCGGAATCCCAGATTGTTGAGAAAGCTGTAGATGCGCGACCCGGGCGCTGATCTGGAATTGATTCGTAGATAGACTTACGAAAGGAAAAAACATTCATATACAGGCTCATGGAAGGAGCACTGTCCCCTGAGTGATTTGACCAGTATTTCGGTCATTTACCACAACTTGCAGAATTTCGCTGATCAATCATTTGAACTTCCAGGTCAGAAAACGAATACATCTCGAGACGATTCGAAATGGGTAAGGGAGGAAAGAGCCAACAAGCACAAGCTCAGTCACAGAAAAAAGGAGGTCAGCAGAACCCCAAGCAGATGAAAGACAAACCCTCGAGAGGATGTGAGTAGGCTTTATGAAAAAGTTTCGTGGCCGCTGTATTCGCCCAGTCTCAATCTGACGATCTCGATTCCCTCTGAATTCTCTCATTGGAGCAGAATCCGAGACTCTTACTCGGGATCCCATAACAGCAGTGCGGCCTTTGACTGTAGCTGAGTTGCAGCGAGTAGGAGCCTAGATTTAACGGCAGACGCAGAGAGTATAGCGGAACATAGGCAAGCCAAATGAATCGGTGCTTATCGAAGACCGATTCCTACCGCCTCTCATCCAAAAATCCACCCCGATTACTCTGATCTGCGAAAGCTTCCGATGAGCTCCTTGTGAGCTCAAGCTGTCACTGACATTCTGCTGGATCCTCATTCGCAGGTTGCAGCAGCATCTTCAGCTTAATCCGCAAGCTGATCTTCTTGACTGCGATTTCGGCTTTCTTGTACGTGACAACGTTCACTGGGTACACCTATCATGTCAAGCAGCGGGTTCCGACCGTCAATGAATTCGTGGACTTCTCCGTGGAATCGTATCATGTTGGATCGGAACAAGCTCGAAAATATTATGCCATCGTTGACCAACATACCAAGGTTTACTATGCTCAATTCGAAAAGGAGTACCTCCCAACCATTCAACTGTACACCAAGGTAAATTCGACTCCTCTCAAAAGCCTTCCCTAAACGGAGGGGAATAATCTCAATCTCCGCATGAAATGCCGCGAAACTCCAGCTCATGACGCTGGCGTGGTCTCCTTGGAACTTTGTCGGGCTTATGTAGTCCATTGTCCTCATGTAATTACAGAGATACACGAAATTGGCCGTGGAGAAAGCCGGTGATCTCAAGGAGCTGTCGATGAAATACTTCGCTGTAGCGCAAAAGCAGGTCGAAATCTACTACAAACTCGCGCTCAAGAAAATCGAGGAATTCCAGTCCGGCAAGCAATCGGCACCGACTGCTGCACCCAAACCCGCAACGCCCAAAGCCGGTCCCACAGCGGCACCCAAGCCCGCCCAAGCATCTACCAAACCTCCCACCGCAGCACCGACTCAGGCTCCCGTACGGGTTCCCACCCAAGCACCCACACGAGCACCAACTCCAAAACCGACTCAGGCACCATCAACTCAGAAAGCTGCCCCACAGAAGCCCGTGACGACTCCCAAACCAACAGAGGCTCCGAAACGAGCTTCTCCCAACAGCAAGGAGAAGAGCGAACTCTAATTCTTTGATCTAGGCAAAATATTCTCAAATCGGCGGTTTAAAGTGGGTTACCGTAGGTGAGCGACTGGCTGCGTACCTGCTCCTTATTTTCCGACGGGGCGTTCTTTTGCTCACCGTCCCGTTCGCTCGCGATGTCTCCCGATTGAGCTATTGGATCTTCTATGCATTGGTACATTTATCACTTCCCCGGTTGCTGACGACATGGCTAGAAGGGGTCTCCCCCATGGAAAGTATATTTAGAGAAAAAACAGACTCAAGGAAGTCAGGATGATCGAGAGACGCTCAAGATTCCAGTGAGAAGAGCGTTTCCCTTGTTGGACTCCCCCCTATTCCTCTCCCTGAAGTGACTTGTAGCAGCAAATTACATAAGTTTTCGGACTTGACGTCGTTCGGACATCGGATTCCAGTTAACGTGGACTCAGAACGCGGGCAGCTTTTCGTTACTCCTCTGGATCAGGAAAGGGAATTCGCAGATTCTGAGTCGGGTAGTCTCGGTTATACTAAACTATACTTCACGGAAGTTCCTTCTGTTGACAATGTCTTCGAAGGGGAATCGGCAAGGAATATGACGATGAAAAGCACGTGGAGCATGGGTGAATGCGAAAAATTCAATAGTCAGAATTATCGTAAGAAGACAATACTTCACACTTTGAGCGATTATGGTAGAAGATAAATGAGAAGATCATTAGGGAGAGATTTCTAATTCGGAAAATTTCTATCGATGGCTGAAATTCTGGTGCATATTGTAAATATATGCTGATGTGTAAATAGCCATTTGAATAAAATATTGAAACAAAACCGATTACGTGTTTCGGAAGCGAGTAATTCATTCGGTTGTAGATCTCCATCCGCATTGCGCCGACCATAGCGGAAGCTTCATTTACATGTTCAAGAGCACCTTTTCACTCCGGTAATTTATTGTGGAAACCGTCTCGCTTCCACGCTATAGGTATTTGTCATTATGGGGGAGCCCTAACTTAGTCGCGCTCCTGGGAAGAGGGCTTTGAGAGCGTGATTATCATATTGAACATCAGGAGTTCGATTCGGCGGACTCGATCGTGTTGTTCGGAACCTCAGCGACTTTCGCATCGAGCGTCCCCTGTTTCAACTTGTGTGGATCAGTTTCCTCGTCCGAGCTCGTGTCCAACCCGAAGTGACTAATTCTGAAACAGGCCTCCCCCGACTCGCACGGTATCTTGCTGGTTTTGATGCGAATTTTCATCGAGCACTTGGGGTAGAGCTTCTCGCAGTCCTTGCGCAAGAAACCGTTGGCCATAGCCCCGAGGATACCCTGATGGTTCTTCGACAGGAATCTGCAATATCGGATCGCCGAGGAATGAACGATGATCTCTCGAAACACATTGAAATCAGAGGAGTTTCGATAATGGAATTATGTCCGACCTCTCTCGGCGCGCTATCGGAAAACAGTTTCCCGGGTCATGATTGGAGTCTCAACGCAAAGCCTCTGATCAGGACTCCGAAAAAAAACCGTCTCATACAATTTTCGTGATCAAGAGACACATACCTCATGAGATCATCGAGGACTGGATGCGACGGGAACAGCAGGGACTCGATAGCCCCTTTTGTGCAATAGTGGATTCGTTTACAATCGTAAGCTTTCTCTTTAACGACTGCTTTAAGTCGCAGGTACGAAACCCACTGACTCAGATGCTCTGATGCGGGGCCATAGAAAAGGGTCCTGGAAGGAGAAGTTTTCTGTTCTCAGCGGTCGAGCTCCCCTCCGGGAACACAATCTGGATCTCGAATTTCGATGATTCGTAAGAGAAACAAAGCGATCACTGCGAGATCACCTCTCGTCAGAAGCTTCGCCTGCTGGGCTAAGAGTCGGTGTCACGGCCGGGAGAGAGATCAACAAAAGAGAACTGATCAGCATCATTTTGGCGATCAGGATGACTGAAATTGAGTTCGAACGGGACCGCCAGTGCCATACGAGCTTCGTAAGTCGGGTCCGACGTGGAGACTTCACGTCGGATGCTCACGTCGAACATTTCTTACAGCTTCGTGCCGCGAGATTCGTGGCGGCACAAAGACTTCGCTGGACTCTGGATTGTTGAGAACTCTCTCTAATTTTCGTTCTGAATAATTTTGTGGAGCCGATGAGTGAAGTTAATCACCCTCTGCAACATATTTCCGTTTCAAAAACATATTTTCGATACGGAGCAGTGACGAAAAGAAGTAAACCCGGGACAGGATGCTTCTCCCTTGGAATCTGGCTGAGGTGCATCGCATTGTCGAATGAAGCGCTCCGCGGAAGCAAAGCAACACCGAACTCCTTGGCTGAATGGACCTGCGCATCGAATACATTCAGTGTTCGAGCCTCCAACTACCCACTCGGCCAGAGCGCACGAGTTCCAAGCCGCACTCAATCCTGCTTCTGATTTCGGGACGGATAGATGTGGCGCCCGCGTGGCCTCGAGCGCCTACGCAGTAGCTTAAAGTCGGTTGCCTGTTCCATGGGATTTCATGAGCCCCGCCGTCTGATCGGCACCGGTCCCTGGCACACGCATTCTGCCGCGAGCCAGCTTCTCAAATACTTCTCGCCCGATCGTGGTGTAGGTACATGACATTCCACCAACTCGAGTGGCATTCCAAGGCGTGGGAAAGTTCGCTTTTCGTCAAACGCTTTCCTCCCCCGAGTACAGGATGAGGAAATCGTCCCCATGACGGATATTGGAACCATTTCTCTGCGTGTGAATCATATCGTGTCCGTGCTCCGCAAAATCGAGTCTTGAATATGATCACATCAATTATCATGCTTTTTAGATCGCTGATACCAAGCTGTGGGTAACATCATTCCAGCAGCGGGTTCGTAGGCGATCTTCTAATATCTCCTCGAAAGTGCCCCCAGAATCTCTTATTAGAAGGGGGCACGATTTGTCAAACAGGCGCGGAACCATCTTCCTAATTATCTAATCGCTCGATGCAAAAAACTTTGAAAGCCAGCCTCAGGCAAGGGGCCGGCTTGACTTGCCACGATTCAACGTGAGCCCCTTGAGTCCGCTCGGAGCCTAACGGGGATTTGATTCCTATGATCAATCTGGGAATGTGAGAGGCCGTGAAGACTTAATGGGACGAGTATGGAGCCCGAATTCGACCGCACATTTCCTCTGCTAAACTAATGATGGAATTCATCTTCTCGAGCAGCCCCATCCCCCGGGCTCCCGATCTTCTGCGTTGCTCCGCAATCGAAATTTCACTGTACAAAATACATTAAATATGGCCATTGGGAGACCGTGTTCAGCTGTTTCAGAGATCGTTGTCCAGTTGTCTGCATCGGACAATATCATAATGAAGAGAGTGAGTGCGGTCACGTTCAGGTTTCCAGCTCCGGTGCTTCGAGAGCCCCCATCACACCGAACGCCCCGTTGCTATGGCTCTATGTTTGGCGGTTTCCAAGGCGCGCATCTACATATCTGTGAAGTGCTCTCGGGATCTCTCATTCCGACAGAGCAGCAGATGACTTGAGCATGCTCTCCGGGCCGCTGGTGTCCTGGTCGTGGTCGCAATCACCGAAGCTGCGGCGAAGCGAGTTCCCCCCAGTCGAGTAGTCGTCATCGGATCTTCGTCGTACGGAATTGCGGTGTGGAAACGTCGACGCCGACATCGGACGCCAGGTCATTTTCGGCATCCATTGGAGCAGAACCGTTTCAGACATGCAAGTTACACGCTGCATTTGAAGTTTGAGCTCAGTCTTCCCCGGAGCATCACGGCATTTGAATCTTCCTGAAGTTTTCCATCTTGAGCCGTAGCGTTCGGTTGAATCAGCTCCCCTCTTAAGGACTGTTACAGTTCGTGTATTCGAAAACGATTTTTTCTCGCGGTATTGTTCCTTTCACTCCGCTCATGACAATGAGTTGTGAATTCGCATTGCTCCGGGGCAGGTGTCTCTCTGCTGTAAATGCATGATCTGGAATGCGAGGCTCCGATACATTCTTCATAAGGCACCGGTCACGCGCGGCGACGTTGCCGCCCCCGGACCCCCGGACAGACACGCTGGCCGCGTGATTGGTCCGTACCGAACGCTCAGGTGAGTCCATTGTGAATGAATTGCCTGAGCGGATGCATATTGGATCGAGAGACATCTCTCAAAGCGATCGCTGCCTGAAAATACATCCAAGCCGCTGCTCCCGGAGACTTCTTCCGCGCGAAACATGAGCGCATTCCGCCCTCCATCGGCGTTACAAACATCATCGGATCTGGCCACAGAACGGCTCCTCCTATCGTCGAAAATTTTTCCTTTTTTCCCTCAAATAGTACGCCTCGTGGGTAAGATGTCTCATCGCTGTTCTGGAACTTTCCGGAGGCTGTCCTTTTCTGCATCTACTGGTGGCTTCCGGTGACTGGCTTCCGTAGCTCCGAAAATGGATTCAAGGACCTGAGTGCCCCCTCCAAAATCGGTGTCTGCAAGAGTATCCTTGAGTTCTGATTTTGCTGGCAAGTTCGGAATACCCCGCGATGCTCGGGGCTGCGACCGACCTCTACGGCACCGATGAACATCACCTCCCCAGAGACCGACTCGATCAGCGGTCTTCCCGAATCGGACTCCCTCGTCCGAAAAGCATACTCAAAAGTTTCAGATAGAGGTAGAGACCAGGCTCGAGAAAGCAGAGCATACTCGTGTTATGCTCAAAATCGAGAAGTTCGCGAGCTCCCAGTGTCCCTTCTCAGAGATCGACCAGTAGGTCGCTTCTCCGGTCAAGGATATTGGAACCATCGGATGAGCCACCCTCGGGCTCATGTCCCGCGTCGTTCCGCGGAGGCTCGGATCGCCTTGACAGTGATCCGGCCTTTTTTGTCCCCTTTCAGCTCTGCCATCCCGAAAACTACAACGGGCGGAGGCTTTCATGATCGCGTGGAAAGCTCTTTAAATCACCCATGGATACTCTAGGCATACTGTCCATGCGTTTACCCAAGCGGCTGTTGGATCGGTGCTCAGAGTGGCCGGTTTGTGCCGGCTGCACGTCTGCTGCAATTAGCTTCGGTTAATCATCATCTAGAAGGGTGTGGTCTTCACAGCCGAAGCGAGTCAGACGTACTCGAGGGATGTACGGAACTGGGAGACCGACCATCCCCCATTTGAGGACTACGTGATCCTCGTACGCCACGATCCGTGAAGTCCACCCGTCCGCGAAGCGATCCGCGCACTGCTCGAGATAAAATCGTATGAACCGCCACGGGTAGCAAAGCAAATTATTATCGGGGCTCTCGGCCATTCTCTCCCGGAGATTTTGGCTCTCCAAGAATTCTTTTCGATGGGTTCGTTGACGCTTCCGAGAAGTGGCTCGGGATAGGCAGGGACAGCATCAAAAGTGTTGGACAGAGCTGGGATCGTGAGGGAGAAAGTGACTCCGCTTAGTGATTCCAGAGCAGGATCACCTATTGATATTGATACGCACAGGGAACGGTCATTCTGCTTGTTTTACGGATACAAGCTTCTTCTGAATCGCAATAACGATCTTCAATGACGGCACATTCCTTCGAGACTCTTTCTCTCTCCCTCGGGATCACGGAAGGTTAAGCTTATCGCCAAACCCACAGAGCTCGTGTTGTATCCGCATGGCCGATTCGGCCGTATGGCCGAATCGCGAGAACTTCAGGTATCTCTTGCGCACGCCTGCTATTCCAAGCATTTCGGGAAATTCGCTTCGAACGCCCAAACGAATTCAGCGAGAGATCGAGTCATCCTTTCACGGGAAGATGATTCGGTGGGAAGAGGACTAAAGCACAATCTTACTGCAGTTCATAGCGTGACTGAGGATTATGACTCACTAAGGGGCTCAGTCTTCCCTCCGTTAATAATTAATTAACATCACACGGCATGCTGAGTTTCACAGTGAATGCTCGACTGAGATATCCATCGAAGGGCTCGATAGGGACTTGTCTGCGAGCGAAAGAACAGAATTGAAACAATCTTTAGCCAGTAAGTGGTTTAGGGCTTAGCTTATCTGATTACATAATGAAGCGGATTATCATGTTCGGGGTAATATGGGCCTTTCCGAGGGCTGTGACCTGTGACTCAATGAAGCCTACCGGCAACGTGAAACAAGCCCGATGGATGTGAACCGACAGACTCGAAATCGAAAGTGGAGGCGCTCGCTCCGGAATCGGGATTTCCGGGAACCAGGAGAACGGATTCGTTTCCCGCTCCAGATCAAGAGGCACTTTTGCACTGCTTTCGTGTCGCTCTTCTTCCGACCAAGGAAGAGGTTCGTGGTCTGTGTGGCACGAGCCATGGCATCTGCGCTCGTCGCGTCTGATCAGCGAACATCAGTTTGGAACCTCCTCCAGTCATCGAGGAGATATCATTCGGCGACTTCACGTCTCGTCTCCTGGCTGAAGCCTGACATCCTTCCTAGTTAGTCTTGAGCGGAATGTGCCCAACACCGTAATGTCCAGACTATCGGTAGCGCTAGGCTGCTCCCCCACATCTATTCGATCCTACAGGAGAGCACATCGAAAACGTTCACGGATAAGAAGCTGGGGAGTGTGCTCCCGGATCTCATTCAGATTCTTTCCTCGAATAAGATCACGGGAGGATTGATCTGGGGCGGTGAGCCGCAGGAGACCATATCGGGGACCGCTCGATCTGCACTCCGCGTCCGAAGCGGAGGATACTCGTGTAATTTTTTTATTTTTATATTCTTCCCTTCCTGATCGGCGATGAGGTTCGTACGCATTGATAAGTCTCGAAAGGGGATCCTCCATGGAAAGCCCAAACCGTCAGGGTATGATTCCTGTCGATTATCCTACTGTTCAGCAGTTATTCTAGACATAGCCTCCCCCGAGGATCGGTGAGTCTTCTGCGTCTGATACCTCCTTGAGATCAGCGTTTATTCCATCCCTAGGTGTGCAGCCGACAGATCGAGATGGGCATTGCGATGGCCCGCATTCGGGCTCGGCAAAGTCGGAAGCTCGGAGGCTTGGAAGCTGCCGGGAGACGGTCCGGAGACTCGGGCCATAGCAGCACGATAGGTTCAGGCAGATGGTCAAGATACCGGTGCGATCATGAGTTGCTTCTCGAGTCTCGTAGGTGTGGGAGGCGGGTAAGAAGTGGAGGCATTTTGTATTGAGTAACTTCCGCCTGACGATCGGCGCTCCTGTCATCCATGAGATATTTTACAACTGAGCGATAAATCAGAGTGAGGCATCACTTGCCTCCGCCGAGGGGCATCAATTGTTATTCCACCAAATGTCTATTATCGGGTCCGCAAGCCTTTCTCCACGACGCGCTCCACGTGCAATTAATTAATCTTCATGATGTTTCCGGAGCCACTTCCACGGGCCGTTTATTCTTGACAAAAAAATTTTTTTTGCTCCGATCGTTCCTCCCAGATTACAAGATGGGAAAAACGCGACTGTGCACCGGAACGCGCGTGACGCTGCCCACTTCCAGTGGACGCTATGAGTAGTAAACACGAGCGGCGGATCACCGTCAAAACCGAGTTGTACGCAAATCCGAAAGATCGGAATCTATCCGAAGCGTTGTGCCTCTTGAGCGCGTTTTTCGGTCGAATACTTCTGTTCAACGTGCCGACATAGAAGCGTGGCTTCCAGGACTACTTCCGCACTTCAAGCGGTGAGGAATCGATGCGGTCTTCCGAGAGCGACCCTCCACAGTCGGAATTTTCGCACTGACAGCTCAAGCGGTATCATCGATCGGAGTAACCCTATGGACACAAGAGTTGTCGGTTGTCGACTCTGGCTCGTCATTCACGCCTGAAAGCGTACGACGCCAGCGGCTGTCCGCGAGCAGACATGGATCACCCGCCGGATAATCTTCCCCTCAGGTTCTCTCTCTCTCTTCCTGCGCTCACGTCAGAGTGGTGGTTCCGCTAAGTTTTTTCTTTGAATTTGGATGAGTTCGCGTCTGTTAGCAATTATTCACGGCCGCTGGTAACCCTAATAGGTAGTGAAGCTTCACTGGGGGAGGAGGCGAGGAAGTCTTCCCTCACTCGTCGAATCAATCTGCCATCCATGGCGACGACATTATAGTTTACTTACGGGGGAGCATCAATCTGTCAGCAAGTGAGAGATCCCAGCACAAAAACGCGCGTGTTCCGAGTACGTGAAACTGAAATATGCTTCGAGTTCATGACGCCGTCGAGTGAGAAAGTTGTGCGTGATCCCGAGCTTCGGAAACGGAATATGTTTGGAATACGTTCGGTGCTGGTATGGATTTTGGTGCTGTTCCTGGTAAGTCCCCATGCGCGAATCCACTGGGATCGATTGAGGATAACTTGGTTCTCCAAATACGTGCGATCTCGCCACAATCCGACCACACGCACGAAGATCTTCCCTTGCGCTGATAGTCGGATCTTCGACATTCCATTTCATTTCTAGTTGTTGACGGCGTCCATACTAGCTGCGAGCGAATTCGCCGACAGGAACATAACGTCCTTGCATGACATTTGGATTCCCGCAAACTTATTCAATTCCACTTCGAGCAACTCGTCCTATACTTCATCGGCCAATGGGGGGCCCCCAGGGAAAAATCGAAGTTCCAAATCGAAGAGAAACAAGGAATCGGTATCGAACACGACATCCTCCTTGACGCCCCAAAATCGCTCCGCCGAGGCTCCGAGGGCCGAGGCATTGCGGTCTCATCCGTCCAGATCGGGCAGAACTTCTTTGAAGGAAAATCGGAAAGCTCTTTTTTCGGTGGACTCCTGGATGGGGAACCTAGGTGAGACCTTTCGAAAAAATTACGTGTTTTCCTTCCCGGAGCCTATCTCCATTCCGTTGGGTCGCTCTTCAGCATTGAATATTTACAGCGGAGCTACCGCTGCCTCGCGTGCAAGAACTCCGGAATCTAGCAGCGGCAAGCATGCGCAACCACCAAAAAATCCATCCTTCTCTGAACTCTGCCGCCGCATCTTCGAAGCGTGCCACGGTGTCGCGCGGTGGCCATGGGGAAGACGAAGATCGCAACGAATACGCCCAGAGGGAGCCGAGCGAGGGGGAATCGTACAATGAAGAGCATCAGACACATACTTCCGACACCGAAGCAGGGGACTTCCCTCGCGAAGAGGAAATAGGTGGAGCTCCGGGCAACAGTCACCCCCCAGCTTGCGCAGGCTTCTCTCGCTTCTATTGTGACGCATCAGATGATTACCCTACGTGAGTACCGCTCGTTCGGTGGAGATCCCGAGGATCGACCAGGATCACAGAGGAAAAAAGTTCGATTGAAGAAGTAGTAAATTCGAGCGATCCGGAGCTCGAAGATTCATTAATGCGAATCGTGCGTTCCCAGCATCTCGGCTTTGATTAATGGTTCCCAAAGATCTCGTGTTCGCGAGACTTAGAAGCCTAATCCGATGATTCCGAAGGGGCAGAAGGGGATTCCATACAGATCCTGTGACGGATCACTGATCTTTACAACATTCCGCCTGAAACCCACGTAAAATGTTTAAACCGGAGGGAACCATGTAGCAAGCGGCAATAAGGCACCCCGACGGGATTTTCGAAGGAGAGGTACAATCCAAGACTCGAGGGCTCCGCACCATTAGATAGTTGCGAGGAAAAGCCGTTGAGCTCCCCCGAGGAAGTCTGAAAAGAATGCCGGGATGGTGGCCGAATGCTAAGACCAGGAGGGAATCACCACCGCATCGGTGGCATCTAGATTATTTCTTCAGAGGGTCACGCATCTTCCCCCCCGCAGCGGAAGGCTTGCTCGGGGAAAACCGAATTGGCATAGGGATCCCTCGTGGAGAATACTGGTGTGGCGAAAGCCACCGATACTCACGAGCCACGGAACCAGACGAGCCGGAGGAAGCGTCGACCTTCCATGCCAAAAAGTAACTTTCGCTTCCCCATTCTAATCCCTCAGGGCGCTCATAAATCAAGTCACTAAGTACCTCAAGTGGCCCTTGGAGAAACTCTTCAGAGATCTGCGCGATCTGCAACCCCCGACGCTAGCGGATTCGGAGAATGGAAATCTGGTCTGCGATTCAATGACGAGGATTATACGACCAGGTTGGGCACGGAACACCAACGGGAAATGGCTCGTCGTAATTAACACACCGTATCACATCCAGACTGTCACAGAAATCAAGTGCCGGTAAGTGACCAAGCCGATCAGCGAGATGGTCCGGTGATTAGCTCGTCTAGCACATCAGGTGCGGAACGTGCGTCGGTGAGTCGCCGCTCAAACTTCGTAGCTTCAATCCGTGACTTCAATGCGCGAGTCCACGCCGCGAACCGACGCCGATTAAGAGCGGCGGGTGACCATTCCTTAAAAGAACTTCGGCAGGGATTCCTGCAAGCTCCCTCTGAGGGTTTCGGTCAGATAATCCGTTCTATAGTTTCGATCGATTTTTAGACCTACCCCACAAAATGTGCATGATCGGCCGTGATTCCGCTCATGATCATGTGGATCTCTCCACCGCAGCAGTCAATCGATGCTACGAATCATGGGATGAAGTTTTCAAGAGCTCAACCGAGACTCAAAGGGAAGCGGGTGAGGCCTTGCGGAGCCTCGGTGCTAGGGGAACGGTGTTTGCTCCGACGTTAAGTAGTTTAAGAGCATTAAGCACCGGTACTTGATGCTCCGACGATTCTAGTGGATGAGACCCTCGAGCGGATGTTTTTCTTGACGCGACGAACCTTTCAACTTTTCTGACTGGAAACAATGTCTCGCAAAGCTTCACTTCCGATCGAAAGTCGGCCTACCGAAACAGAGTTCGAGCTACAGTTCCCCGTTCATCTTCTCGTGCTCCCTCGAGGGAATTACACATCCATCGATGAGCCCTGATGCTTGTCCGATATAAATGTCGTCAATCAACGCGATCCTTTTATCTTTTTCAGGGACGAGGAATCCGCTTGTGCGTACATCGCGCCCTGCTTCCATAGCTCCTGTCAGCAGCGGTACAACATTCAATCTCTCTTGGTTATAGACCCCAACAATCACTACAAGGGACCGTTCTTGTCGCAGTTTTTGTTTCCGTCGAGTTGCGTCTGCTTCGTCCCGGACCCCAATCTTGTCTTGCAAGCTCAATGTCGAGCGGCTCCGAAATACGGATCGTAGAATCCCGTCCGGAAGCCAGCCGAGTCTCCCACTTTATCGACTTGGAAACGCAGAATGTCTCATTGATTCCCCGACTCGCGTAAAGATAGTGGCGTTCCGACAGTCCTTCAGTAGCGGCCTGATGTGGGCCTTGACTGTGGTGAATTCCAGAATGAGACCGGATGCTTCAATGTCATGGATGCGTATGTCATGTCCACCGGAGGATACAGCTTCTTTTGAGAGACGACATTCATGTACCATGCTTATGTAGAGACTATCGGAGCCCACGTTCGGGAAATATTTATCCTCCTAATTCATTGAGAATCATACTTCCAAGACGTACACTCATCACCGGAGCACCGTTGCTCATGTTCAAGCTTTAGAGTCGCTCATCGATGTGTTATGGATTCCTTTTGTTTATATGTATCCCACCCTGGGGGATCAGCCGACAACGTCCTCGGCTTGACTTCAAGTGACGAGCTACTGCAGCGATGCTCTCCACGAATGCAGGTGCTGTATTCAACCGCTTTGGGGAATCATGACGTCCCCAGGGAATCGGTCAGACTTGCCATTATCGAGGACCAGAACCTCGAGCAGAGAAGTCCCGAAAATTTCTCGGGGAGAAACTTCTACACCACCCGTCACTTGTTCAGATTCCGCACAACTTCCTTGGTGACTCCGCAGGATCACCCGAGGTGAAGTCTTCTCTTCTCTCCATTGTTTCTCTGAAATTTCATGAGTGTCCGACTTGTCGAGCAAGCGTCTTGGTGCCAAATGGCTGTGTCAGGCAGAAGAATGAGGAGCGGATGCAATAAATATTCTGAGTGTATATTAATATGACCCGTTATTGCCCGATACGCAGTATTGACTCCGAAAAATTACACACCGATCTAATCGTGGGGATTCCGCGCTCTGGAAGATGGGCGGGAATCGTACTTTGAGCTGATGGTCAGGCCGATCTCCTCCGAAAGATTTCCAACGGCTCCTCGGCAGCCATCATGAGATGCGACATGCTTTATCAGGGACAACGGAGGCCCTCCCAAGGATCCGGATCCGCGAGTTTCCCCCGCAAGATTCCGCGGATGCAGTCGTCTGGATACAGGCACTCAAATATATGTTCATTGATATAGCTGGGAGGCTAGGTGAATTGATGTTGGAAGTAGATGTTCCGAAGATGACGAGTCCCTGTATTCGAGGAGCTGGTATTCGCGAAGTCGCGGAATCGCAGATCTGCGAGAGGCCGATCGGCCATTCTCGTGAGCAAAACTCGACAGTGGAATCCTTTTCTGCTTATCGTTGATTTTCTCCCGGGGCGGGAAATCTCGCAAACACGGACGGCCTCTTGAACATGGGCAGGTTTGCGTTGGATTGAAAGATCAGACCGGCCGTTATTCACGAACAGGCGCCCTCGAACGTTGTGAATCTCGAGCGCGAACGGATGAGAAATTCTATTGGGGCTCCGATTGGATAAACATCCCGTATGATCGGTACTCCATGTCCAGATGATGATTCGAACAGCAGCTTAGCAACTCTCGGGTTACCAAACGACATCGGTTCTCGACGATGGAGCTGACGGAATATCGGAGCTGAAAGGGCAGGAAACCCAATATATCGGCTTTTTGCCGAATTCCCCCCTACGAGGAGTCCAAATGTCTGATACATTCGGCCACTGACTAAACGGTGTGTCGACAGGGAATTTTGGTGAAGTATGATTTCTCGCTTCTGTCTGGCGCGAGTCTGCTACGCCTGAGAGCATCCAGCGCCGCTCGCTGTCCGCGGCGAGAATTCCGGATTAACATTCCTATGATTTCACTTTCACATCCTACGTTCTTGCCAAACCGACTGCTTTTTTTTCTGAATTCGGATGATTCAGCGTCTGGCGGCAATTATTCACTGCTGCCGGTAACCTTAATAGGTAGTGAAGCTTCACAGGGAGAGAAGAAGTTACTCTCGCTTGCCGAATCAATCTTCTGTCAAAGAAAAGATATCACAGTCTGCTGGGAAGGCTGCATCGGGTGATTCGGAAGTTGTAGGTCCCATACAGATATTGCAAAAATCGACCGAAGAGAGTAGCGTGTCCGAATATGATTCGGGTTGATGACTTCGTCGAGTGACACTGCCAGACGTGCTCGGCATAGTGGTCAGCCTCGGCAGGAGCTTAAAATGTGTGGATCACGTGCGGTGCTCTTCTGGATATTATTCGTCATTGTGGTAAATATCGGAGTCAGTAAGGGAATCTCCGTATGTCCCCTGACCGACGCGCGCCCGTTCAACGCAGCGAACGGAAAGCCCGAACACGCTGTGCTCGCTCTATCACGCACTCCAAGTTCCCACTGTCGAGGGTTAATCCTCTTCCTGCTTCCAATCTCAATTTCACATGAGATCGGATTATCCTTCCCCCCGTAGCTTTCGATACTATCCATATTTTATTTTCCTTGCGCCAGGCTCTATCAAGAGCTCGAACGATCTCTCCGGGGGTGCTACCGGGGTATGCGAGGGAGTTTGGTAGAATTTTAACCTCCCTTTGCATTATATTGCCAGCTGCTCATGGCCTCTTTTTTGGTCGCCACTGAGATCTCCGATGGGAACCTCACAGCCTTGCACGACATTTGGGTTCCGATAGAATTGTTCAACACGACCTTAGCAAATTCCACGCAATCTGCATTGGTGAGTTCAGGATCGCGGAATGAGACATCTGGCATAGCCCGAACACTGAAGAAGAAAAAGAGAAAGAAAATGCCTCCATCGGCTGCTGAATCAAGCGTCGGAGTGGCCCGAAATTCCTCAGTGGACTCACCGAAAGCCGAAGCTCTCCGATCGAAGTTCTACAGCACAGCCAAAATGTCTCCGAAGGATAATCAGATACAACTCTATTCTGTGGGCTCTTGGATGGGAGACCTGGGTAAGTCCGATCACTTTTTCTCTCAATTGACCGAAGCTCATGGGAATATCTTCCCCGAATTGAAAATCCTCGAAATTCCTTCGAGTCCAAACGAGCAGAGTGCCGAAGAATCTGGCGTGCGCTTCCAGCTATCTCATCTTCGAAACGAACAACTCAGACTCGCAGAGATTCCGTCATCGCGGGAGCGAACAACATCCATAGGAGGAAGAACCCGACTGCAGGAGAATCTATTCTGCACGAGCACCAAACTCATTCTTCTGACGACGACGGCGGCGGCGGCGATCACGACGAAGACGACGAGTCGAGGGAATTCCCTCCCGAGGATGACGTTGACGGGTCGCCGAGCAGCACTCATCCTCCCGCTTGTGCCGGTTTCCATAAATTCTACTGCGACGTATCGGATGACTACCCCACGTGAGTATGAATTTCTCGTATAACGCAGCGCATTCGGACCCTCATCGAGGCGCAGACAGGTGGGACTACTCAAACCCTTGCTAATGGGTTTGGCTACAACTCTGCTTGTGAGAATTCGCCCGCATCGGAGCGTCTCGGCAAGCGAGAAGACGAGGAAATGGCCGAGAAGCGCCCCACTGTCGATGGAAGCAAAGGAAATGATGCCTCTGATGGAGGAAGCCGTGTTATTAAGAGAACGGATTGTGATTCCATCGCAGGGCGCTGATTAACCAGGTCACTAAATATCTCAAGTGGCCCTTGGAAAAGCTGTTCCGAGATCTCCGCGATCTGCATCCTCCCACGCTTGCGGATTCCGAGAAGGGAAGTCTCGTTTGTGATTCGATCACGAGAATCATTCGACCAGGATGGGCTCGGAACACGAATGGCAAATGGCTGGTCGTCATTAACACCGCCTACCATATCCAGACAGTCACCGAAATAAAATGTCGGCAAGTATCAGATAATGGCATAGATTCCCCGCAGAATACTCGTTCCCATAGATACCTTCAGAGTTTCGGGAAGCAAGTGTGGCGGAACGAGAGCGGAAACTGAAGAAAAATTCCGTCCAAGAGTTAACGGAACATCGGCTGTATCTTGAAGCGAAACTGAATCTTACTCAATGAGTGTCAGTTCCCTTCATTTGCGGTAACCTACACGAGAGATTTGACGCTTGGCTGACCACAGACTTACGTTCAGCCGGCGCGGCGGGGCCGAGGCTGACGCTTCAATTTTCGAGCTTACGGTTCTTCTTGAGCCGTATTCGGGGTTGGAGCAATCTCACAATGATTAGATATGGGCAGGGCGGAATCTGCGCCGTGAAGTCCGTCTCCCGAGACCGGATCTGCTCTGATCGTGTCAGATTTCTCATTCGTGGATCGGCCCTACGCAGTATTTCCGCGGAACGATCTTAACGTTGTCTCTGTACCTTCCAGTTCCGAGGGCACAGCGTGTGCCTTCATCGCGCCATGTTTCCATAGCTCCTGTCAACAGCGGTACAACATTCAATCACTCCTGGTTATCGATCCCAACAACCACTACAAGGGACCCTTCGTATCACATTTTCTGTTCCCCTCAAGCTGCGTCTGCTTTGTTCCGGACCCGAAGCTCGTGGTGCAGTCGCAATGTCAGGCCGCTTCGAAATACGGCTCTTAGACTTGCCATTCGAAATTCTGCATTACGCTGAGTTTGGAAACACTATGCTGTCTAGGGCTTTACCAAAAAATCTTCGCGCGTGATCTCACATTCCGGCATACCATCATACGGAAAAAGAGTGCATATCGAGGAAGACGATTTTCTCGGAATCGATACCCTCAATGAAGTGCAACGGATGGAAAATCTTCCGGTTGTTGAGAGCTCTGAGGGAAGGAGCACTCTTGATCGATGCTGGAAAAATCTGATCATTCGTCATTTTTTGAGCGTTCACGACGATCCGCTACGGACGGAAGCAGCGTTAGCGGCAGGGGTATTTATATCGAGTTTTACTCATCATAATTTGTTGGAGGCTCACCCAGAATGATTTTGGAACGCCTTGCCGCTTGAAAATCGGCGGGGGGCGGCGCGTCGCTGTAAATACTGGGTGTTCGCTATTTATCTATGTTCCAAGCTTCTTCGAGTCCCGGATCGCTGATATCTGATGCCTTTTCGAGTGAATAAGGGAATGAAGCCTATCGCGAACTCCCTCACCAAAGCACGCTCCATTCCGTATCCCGAAAGTTGAATAAATAAATAAATTTTATTCAATACAGCCACAGGTCAGTCAACGAGGGCGCTCTCGATGAGTACGCAAAATCGCGAAACTTAACAAACGTGTGCGGAACTCTGCACATCCCGATGTCGAATGATATAGGGCCCAAATCTATAAGAGGGAACACCCGCGCGTGACGCAGGTCGTCAAATATATGTATTCATATATGTATGTATACTGTGAGAGAACTCGAGTATTCGATCTGGAAGGACCGAATGAGTTCCAGGGCACCGCCATGTATTGCGTAAGAATGGTCAGTATTGTATTCACAGTCTAATGTACAAATGAGGCTCGATCAGGGCTAACTCGGGCTCGCGGAGAATACAATAAGACCCCGTGGCTTCGCCTTGGAGGGTCCGACCCCTTCCGAGAATCTCTCCCAGGGAGACTAATAAAATGTCATTCATTTGAGCGCAGAGATTCTTGCGCAACTCTTCTGATGATCACCGTCGGAGTCACTGCCCGTCACAGGCTGCCCGATGTGGTAATATCGCTATCTACTCCGACCATGCTTTGTCTAGAAAGCCGTGTCCACGCAGTTGAAATGATTGATACGGTTGGATCGTTCGGAATTCGTCCCAGAATCGACATTCTCACCGGGTGGATATAATGAAATGATCACTCAGAGGGAGGAGCGATTGACCAAGAATTCGGTGGCCAGTTCCGCTCCACCCATGGTCTCAGCTGAAGTTTCCAGAAGTAGAAAATCGATTATCGATGGGGACGCCCCACGGCGGGGGTCAGGAGATGGTGCACTGCTGGCAACGGCCGGTTCGCTCCGCGCCGAATTCTACACCGTGCAGGGGGACCGTCCCCTGAGCCGGGTCGTGGGGATTCGTCGGTCAACTGGACACCGAATGTCGTTTCCGATCTCCTTCGGTGTCAACACTTCCTGCAAGATCGGAATAGCATCGATTTACCATAAATCCTGGCGACATTCTCGGCAATCGTCGTCTCTCTACCCCCCTGGAAAACTCCCACACGTCGACCCTGAGAACTGAGCCTCAATCACGAAACTCCGGTATCGGGATCGAAGAGGGACGAGTCGCATATCTTGGAGAGAAACCCGTTTATTCAACGAAATAGGTGAGCTTTTTCAGAACAACCACACTTTCGTGCACGAATCTGCGATTCCTTTCACTCTCACGATGAAATAGCTCTGTGTACAACGCGTGAGGTGTCTGACGCTCAGACACGATGAATTGACCCCTAAGCATCGATTGATAAATAACAAAATGATAACGAGACAACAAAACTCAAATGTGACCCTGATCCGGAGCACGGGATCAATGATCTCACGAGATGTACATTTATAGGCACCGTAGTCGATGCCAACAATTGTCAGCGATCGAAAGGATGAAGTATTTTATATATCCCAAATGCGATATCCGATCGAAATCAGTCATGCTTCAGTCAACAGGAGGCGATAGAGCTTGAGGATGGATCAGACGAAGTTATTGGTGATACTCTCCACAAATGCGTCTATCACATTGAGGAACTCCGACTCGTCGGCTGGATTGCTGCAGGCGTTTCCGCCTTCAAGCGATATAACGGCTATATCCGAGTCGCCGTGTTGAGCAGCTTTTCGTATCTGACGAGTCTTCTCCAAGAAGCACGTCGACGCGTGGGTTGGTTGGCACAATGAGAGTTTGAACAGAGTGCTGAGATTCACAAAATCGTCTGTGAGCTGCATGCTCACTAACAAATCGAGAACATCCTTCGGTGTTTTCATGGCCATCAACTCCTCGTGGAACGCCACTCGGAACGAGAGGATTTCGTTGAGCAAAGGCTGCTCCTTCAGGTCGTCTCGGTATACGATACTAATGTTGGCGACGCTGTTTTTTAGATCGTTCTCCTGGGCTTCGAGCAGTGCTACCGGATTGAGGAAATCAAACAAGATATGAGTTTTTGTGACGCTGTCGTAACGAGCTTCCACCTGATTTATCAGACTTTCCATCATCGGTGAAAATATTTCCGCCTCGAATGCTTTCTGTGAACAGATTTTTCCATCGGTACTCCATTCGGATTCGAGCGAGTGGCTTTCAGCGAACGCTTTCGCTTTATTTATGTGGCAATGTAACGTCGATTTCATCTCTTTGAGGTCCTCGACCAAGCCGCCGAGTATGACGGACGCCTTCGACAGGAGACAGTCGTTTTTCTGAAGCAGTTTCGTCACAACCTTCGCTCTCTGTAGCACCGTCCGCCATATCTGGAGCAGGACCAGGAATAAAAATCGTTTCATTTGTGTCTGGATCATGAATAAATTGATTTGTTCGTCCTGACTGCAGCGTCCCTCAGATATCGTCCGCTGTAGCAGTGACGTAAGCTCGTCGTACGAGACGATCACAGCATCGACGCTTTCGAAGTGAGTTTCCCAGCGACCGGATATCGCCCACTTCTCGTCGATCTCGCTGCCGACGAGACAACATTCGAGGGTATTCCACCTTTTGCCGTTCGCCGTAAAATGCTCGAAGAGTCTCCGTATTGCGCCAAAGAACAACGAAACCTCAAAATGGATGAGCGACGCGTCGGCGAGAATCTCGTTAAACAGATGGTTCGCCGAATGAACGAAAACCGCCGAGGGCTGCACCGCTTGGACCTCATCACTGATGTCATCGTAGTGACGGCGCATATTTAGGGTGCCATCAAACGACAGACCTCGACAGCGCTCGATAGAGAGGCCAATTGTTTTGAGTCGCTCGATGAGGAGATTACCGCTCGGCAGTCCATCGGAGACCGTCATCAAACACAGAAATGATTCATTGATTAGGGTCGTCTGAGCATCGCCGCTCATCACATAGCGTGCCGTGACAGCGATTTGGTTAAGAGCGCACGCATCGAATATCAGCGAGAACAAGTTGGCAGCGCGAATTTTCCGAGCGATCATTGTAGTGATCTGCTTCGCAGTCAGACCGACGAGTTCGAGTCGCGCCGGGTAACCCAACAGACCGTTACTGGACGCGTTGGTGGCATGGCCACCGGTCGCACCGCTGAAACCCTTAACAGTTTCGACGCAGGCAGCACCGACCCGGCCGGCGGCGGGACGGGTCACCATATCCGCCAAGTAGAGAGAGAGCGCACAGTCCCGCTCGCCGACCAACCGCACGAGGTCTATAAAGAGAGAAGCTTTCCTTGTTTTTACATCAGTTGCAAGCAGGCATGGCTGCCGACAATAGAAAAGTAAGACGTCCAGAACGCGATGCGCTGCCTCCCGGAGCAAGTTGAGCTCTTTCCTGCTGTTCGTCGGAGCAGAGCCGCCGTTCTCCGTGGAGCTCCGAGCTTTTGTCCAAATTTTCAGCACAGCATTCGCCAAGAGATGCATCCTGCCCGTTTCATGACGTTCCACGACATCTCTTGGATTGTCCCATTGACTCATACCTTGCTCGGTGAAAGTCGGATCGTACGAGGCCGCGTCTCGGACGGCGAACAAGAAACACGGCAGGCAGAAAATCGCGTCTTTCGTCGACGAGTACGACAGCCACTTGCGAGGAGCGTTTTTGCGCTTGTAGAGTTCCGTCAGATTGTGCGAGGATAACGACGGCTGATTCGGACCGGCGTCGATAACTTTTTGAATGAGAAGAGGGCTCTCTCGCACTTCCCCATATACTAACGTCGCAAGATCCATGGGTCCCGGGGAATCATCCAGCAGGAATAAATCCTCACTGACAGTGAGCTGTTTCCCGAAACTTCCGCTTTTTCTCGTCTTCCCGCCACCGCCGCCGCCGTCGTCGTCGACTTCGTTCCCTTTCGTCCCCATGCTTCCTTTTCTTGCTTTCATGAAGTCTGGTGGTGTTTTGTCCCCGTCGAGGCTTGCGCCGGGTGCGGTGAGTCGCCCTTTTGAAGTTTTATCTCTTGCACCTCCTCTGACTCCCGCTCCTACCCCTCCATCGGCTCCAACAGATGCACTTGTCCATGAATTTCTGTCGAGCGAAAACTCGTCCAAGTCGTCATCGTCGTCATCTTCCGATGAGTCGTCCTCTTCTTCGATTTCCCCAAATTTGGCTGAAACGTTTTTTGACGGCGTCAAGGCAGGCTCCCGACTGCCGAGTTTCGACATGTTGATCTCACTGAATTGCTTGGTCGGACGGTAGTGCGGGGTCTCTTCGACGGGAGGGCTCACCAGAGCCTGGATAGAAGAAGAGCTTGATGGGCCAGATAGGGAGGCGGAAGAAGCGGCCGTGGGAGGTGCAGCAGGCAGCGAACCTGCGTAGAAGGGGCATAGCGCAATGAGTCGACGTCCGGGCAGCAGATGATGTTGGATCGGTATAATACGTGGATGATGGAATGGTACAGAATAGAGCGGGTCTTTTCGAGAGCTTGTCGTGGAATCAGCGGACTTTCAAATGGTCATTCGATTATCATTTACAATTGAATGCATGACGGGTTCGAGTGGGTATGCACACGACGCGCTTCGAATTCATCCCATCGTCCCTGAGCCGGGCACGTGATACGGAAAATTCAAGAGGTTTTCTTAGGAATGGGAACGACTCATTCGGGCTAGGTCAGCTTAGGATGGGAGAGGAGGGCACTACTTTGTAATGTTTTCGCTGCTCTACAGCTCCTGTTCCCAGAACACGTCTGAATTCGGTTATATAGACATCATGATTCAGCCTAATTGAGTTCTTTTAGTCGTGTCTCGCAGACGCAGAGCTCACCGTCCAGGACTCTAGGCCAGGAAAGGGAACCCGTAGATGGGCGCTCCTCAGATGAATCAAGATTGTTTCTTCGTTCCATCACTCGGCATCCGGACTAAGCTATGTGTACGTATCCTGGGAACTCGATGCTTACCTTGCTTTTGTAGGGGCCGTCCGGGATGCTTGTGAATGCGGAGAGAAGGATCCAACGGCTCAAAGAAGGGATGCTCCAAACATTCGGATAGCGTTATTCGCCCGGTCGGCTCATATTCAAGCATTCTTGCGATGAGCTCGAACAAATTTCGAGTGTCTTGGTCGTCTGATACCATGTATCGCAACAAAGGCTTGCAGTTCTCACGGACATATCTGCGAAAAGGGAATGCAGGTTGGTCTTCGCAGACACTTGCTCGCTAGAACCCGAGCGCCAGCAGGGTAAGAAAAAGAAGTCGGAGTAGCAGAAGCGTCGACGGCGAGAACCGCAGCCACATTCCATCGCAGCAGGAAAACTTTTCCACTACGATTCATGACAAAGAGCTTGCGGCGAGCTCCGTCGCCGATGCCGCTACCGCTCGTGTACTCTTCGCTTCCTGGACGACGACAGCGGGAGCAGCGGCAGGCGCGGTGGCGGGTGCGTTCCTCTCATTCGAGCGGAGCAAGGCACACAGTTAACACAGACACTCACGCATCACACCCATCTGACGAGTATGCAGCCGCGTGAAACCGTTCTGGCGGCATCTCGCACTTCCTTTCGGCGCCGGCCGGAGTCTGATAGTACCGTAGTGGTTGCGGTGCTACGATCCTTAGCGAATATATAACTTACTTTCCGGCGGAACTCTTCTCGTCCCAGTCTAGGTGGCCGTGATAAAAGTATTTCGTTTTAGTTTTCCTGCACATCCTGTACGGAATCGGACCCAGAATCCGTTCCATCATGGCGAGGTGTTCCCGGTTGTCGTGCGTCTGCAAAACTCTCGCAGATTAGAGCGAACAGAGGGAAGGTGGGGGACTATCTGAGCCGCCGAGCCTCAACGCGCAAAAAAACCCTCGAGAGTAAGTAAGCTGGCTGGCTGACTGACTGATTGACTGGCGAGAGGATAGGCGGACGAGCGGAATGGCGACTTCAATAGCGGGATTTGGAACTTTCGAGTTCAGAGAGTGGCTCAAAATTCCAGGGCCATTCGGAATTCTGAACTTATTTCTTTGATCCGGCCCGGCCACCTGAACCGATTCGGCTTCGATGAACTAGCTGCTGTTGCGCAATCGGTTCCTCCTCCGGGGGCTCAAACGACCTATACTTCGCTACGCAGCGATCCCGAGACCAGTCAAAAGTGATTGTGTTTCCGCATCCCGCGAACGCAGCCTTATAACTAGGAATCAATCTCTACGATCCTTGTAGTGTCTAATTCACCCCCTCTGTGAAGACTCGCCTCCTCGCAGCTTTACCGCCCGATTCACTATCGAGCCCTTCGCAGGTGGAACAGTCAGTCGGTAAATCGGTAGATTCATGTGAGTCCATCCTCACGCGTCACTGCTGGAGAACCATTGCTGTTCCGGACCGTATTGTCGTCTTCGTCCTGTCCGCTCGCGACAGGCCTCTATCGCGGTTTTAATAAGAGCAACAGCTCCGACTAGGAGTCGAACTGCTGGGATCAGTTCTTTGTATTCGCGGGGGCTCGACAGTGAAACCGTTTGGCGCATTCACGCTTCGGATGCTGCGCAGATCGTTCTGTCAAGGAGCTTGAGGCTTCCACTCTGACTTTTCGGACGCCGTCCGCTAATGACGCTAAGCGTTTCCATCGAGTCCATCGTCGACAAGCGACGAAATTACGATTATCAAGAATTAAATTATAAATTATCCGCGTGCTATAGGCCGGGCAAGCAGCCTGTGCCGTAGGCAAGGGCCGGGGTCTCAGCATGTCGACATTATTTCGTTCGCGGTCGGTCAGTCGGTACACACGATGAATTCTCAAGTCCTCGTATTCCTCCGAGGTCCCCGAAAAAATCCGAAGTATTCGAGTAAGTATCATGAGTAAGCAAGTAAGCCCTTATAAAGTTGCCGGAACCGGCGAAGTTTCACTTCGCTCGCACACCGGGAAAGAGTTCGAATGACGAGAACGATGAATGGGAATTTCTCGTATATGTACATACGTGCTCGAACACCACACGGAACTCGCGGTTCCCAAGATTATTCTTCGCTGAATATGCTACGACGGCGAGGCGCTCGTTTCGGTCACGTTCGAAGTGACACTGCTGGTGAAATGTCAAACCGATATTGAAGTCATGTGGAACGGTTTTAATATCCGAGACGCATTGCGTCAATCAAGGTGGTCCTCCCGAGCACCCACTCAGCCGACCTCCCTACCAGCTGAGTGAGGAACGAGCCGGCCGAACGGAACGAGCAAGGAAACCAGCTGTTGGTTCAGAACGCTCCAGCACGCGATAGAATCACGGGGACGTCTCACTCAGGGCTCTTTCACCCAAATGGGAAGTTTCTCCTCCATCCAATTCTCCCTCATACACGGGTCGGGACTCCGTTCCAGGGAAGAGCAAGTGGTCCGTACCTATTTAAGGATGGAGGACCGGTTCGCCGACGATGCAGAATTTACCATAAATCTAACTAGGACAGTGATGAGCTCGGGGTCCTAAAGGAATGGAAAAAACGGGAGCTCCGAGATGGAAAGACTTGCCGGCTCACCTGGAACAGGGTTATCCCTAGGTACAGCTCGAAGAGGATACATCCGATTGACCACACGTCGCATGTGTGGCTCCAGCCAAGTTCTAAAATCACCTCTGGAGCTCGATAGTGCCTCGTAGACACAACGGTTGAATGATGTTCGTGGTCGAAGGTCGCTGATCCGAAATCAATCAATTTGATTCTCGTGTCCTTGACCCTTCTGACTTCTCTTTTCTGTGACGGTAATGACAGTCTTTCAAGAATGAACGATGACGGAAAACTCTCGATGACTCTACCTGGTTAATCGCGATGGGCTGTACGGGTGATTTTTAGTGTGTTAAGAGCGTGGAGCATTCGGTTAATCCAGTCGTCTTGCCTTGGCAAGGTTCCCAATCGAGGTCGTCAGTAACATAGTCACAGGCGCCGGGAGGGATCGTCTGGAAAATATGGTCGAAAGGTACACGGGATGCGGAGCAGAAAGACAAGGAGCATCCAGAGGGAATTTCTCCTCAGCTCGTCGTCGACCACTATAGTAGGAGGGTTGCCATGCCCCGGGACCTAGTCGAATGATCACAGCACGAAGGAGGGGGGGGGCGCCGATCGACGAGATGCGAGAGGGACGCTAACCTTTTTTGTGTTCGACATCGAGACGTCGTAATCCGAATTCAAGAAGAGGATATTCTCCGGTTTCAGATCGGTGTGGGTCAGTTTCATCTGGTGTAGATCTGCAAAGAAGACTTTTTCGGAATGATTGCAATGGGATTGTATCGGCCGCTCTATCGGGAGATACGCGAATGCAGCAGGTTCTCCAGGGACTCTGGGAGCGGAAATAGTTGAAACCGTCAGCTTCTCCGAATTCCTCTCAACGCGAGTCGATCCGAGGAATTCGAATGCTCGCTTCCCGCATCTATCCGGTGGATATGGGTCTGTTCTGCAAAGGGCTTTCCTGTCTACCGCGCGGACCCCTCGAAACGATCTCTCGATCCGAGACATCCGAAACGGGTCGACAGCCGTGTCGATACATTCGTTCGATTACCCGATCCGACTCATTCATTCATAGGTCGGAACGAGATAGAGCTCCTGCCGAAAAGGCGCAGCGAAGCCAATTACGGCGTCAAAGTCTTATGCGGCATCTACCTTCAGCCTCTCGCAGTTGTCTTATTGCGACCGTCTCGAGCTGGGGAGCACTGGCACGCCTGCTCCGACCAAATCTGTCAGCGGTGGCGGCAGGAGCGGCATTTCGACAGCTCGCACTGCTTCAGATAAGGTTTTTCTCCTATTCCTCGACCTCTCTTGACAACAGTCTGCCTCACGGTGAGTATGCCCTCGAGTGACTCCTTTGACAAGTCACCTACTGCACTCATCGGCCAACCTGCCACAGGTTCACCTCTAGGGTGGGTGGGTCGGTCGGTCACTCGATGGAAGTGCCCTTTCTCTTCCCTGTGACGACGTGTCTCATCAATTCACGCACTTGCATCTCTACCTATGATGCTTTCTCCACGTCTCAAAACCGCTGAGCACTCCAGGCAGGATCTTATTTACTATTCGACGTGTGGCTGAGATCGGCTCGAGGGTCTCTGAGGATCCCGAGGATCAAGGGTGAATGGGAGACGCGACCGATGGAGAGAATTGTCAACATCGCTATCTAATCTCGAAATTTCCCGAACTCCATTTTCTGTCTGTACCAGACAACGAGGATGGGGAACGAGAAGTTTCCATTGTTGTTCATCCGGCCGCTCATGGGCATGTTCAATGTGGGCTCCCTGTAGCCTGTCAGACTGCTTTTCGGATGACAGGGATGAAGCGGGATTGGTTGCGAGGGCGAGGGACTCTGACGCCGTTCCAAAGATTCGAGATCCTACACGAGCGCACAGAAGCGAGCATCGCCGGCTTTCAGCCACTCACAGACTTACTTACTCTTTCAGTCGCGCACTCGCTCGCTCATTTCTCCTCGAGTCACAAAAAGGAAGGAAAGAGGAAAAAAGTCGAAGCCAGGATTAACGCGCTGAAAACACTTGAGCTGCCGGCGGCTACGACGGAGGGACCGACGGACGAACAGACGGACGGGAGGATGCCATTGACGCCTGTCCGCTCGCCCGCACACTCGCTCAGTTCAAGCTCTGCCTCTTTTGGGTGACTGACTCGGTAGGTGCGGTACCAGGAGCTTCCGAAAACGCTGAATACATGTGTGCGGGGAGGGAAGGGGGCACGGAGGGGGGGATGAAGGAGATGTTGCGTGGTGAGAATTCCATAATTGCTTCCTCCATCGATCGTCATGAGCGGCGCGCGAGAGCGCAGGCAAATGTTGCTGCGCTCAAATCCGCTGATCTAGCTTGTTTTTATTCAAGATGAAGACGGAAGCGGCAAGTATAGCTGACGGAGGAGTCGAGAATCCTGCCCGGACTGAATCTTGAGCCCTGGACACACAGAGCGACTACAAATATCTGCGATAAGTGCGCAGAACACACATCAGTCCTCGGTCGTCGCTGTCACTCTCTGCGTATCTCTCGCTAACTCGTGTCCATATTAAACAGCAGCGGCAGCAGCAGCAACCAGAAGAGAGAATCGAAAACCTCCGAAAGATTTGAGCACGAGTTGCAGGCGTCGTTCAGCCGCTCTTGTGGGGATTTACTCTAAAAACGCCTCGGCCTTCAGGATTCACAATAAAGCGGCTTGCGCCGTCGTCGTCGACGACGACGTCGTCTCCGTACGGAGCAGGCGGGCTTCGGCAAGCGAGGTTTCCTAATCCCTCGGAGCTTTCCTGGATGCAGCGAAAAGAGCGATGAAAGAATGAAAAGCGTAGATTTCCACAGCTGAAAACGAACGCTAGGCTTCAGTGAGTCGAACTGTTTCCTCACCCTGTGCTCTGAGCTATCCCAGACGCCCCCGGATACTTCTGCGCTCTTCGAGCCTCTGCTCATTCTCACCGTGAAATTCCGCTGCTTGAGAGCCTCGCTGAGCCCGCTCACTCGAGCACTTCATCCCGATGCGAGCGAATAGTTCGCGCTGAATTCGACCCGGAACATTCCGTGGAGCGAAAGGAATAATGAATATGGAAAGACCAATGGAGAGCTGGGCATAAACGGACGTATGATCCTCCCGTTCCGCGGTTTTCCCGAAGATCGCGAATGAGGCGCTCATGCTGATATCGAGAACTTCGGTGCTCCCATCGGAACAGATGCTTTTCATGTGGGAGATCAAGCGCAGATGCGACCACAAGCGCAGACGCCATATACGGTGCGTGTACTGGTCACGCTGTTCCGGGAATGGCGGGCGCGCCATTTACGTTGTTACCACGTAGGCAGGTGTTTCCGAATCAGGTGTCAATGTCGCGGACAAGCGCATCCCGGAGCCCCTGATAAACGTTTTGCGGCTGAGCGACCGGGTGGAAAAACGTGCGTAAAAAAACGATGAGCGTCCCCGGGAGAAGGTGATGATGTCTTGCGAATTAATTACAAGAACCACGTAGCTCCCTCGTAGCCGCCCTTTCCATCCCGACGGCGACTAGCCGCCGCAAGGCCACAAAGCGCCTCGCCTTTTGCTTCTTGTGACGTTCGTGTGTAGTTTGTTGGGTGACTAGCGTACACATCAGACCTAATTACGCGCTCACGCGCTCTCAGCGGACAGCTCGAACAACAGAAAGGGATAAAAAGAACAAGAAGCCACCGATAGAATGACACAAGAAAGTAGGCATTATCGACAGAGCCCGAGTCACCTCCGAACCATTTTCAGTCATAGAGGCCGCAAAGAAAATAAGTTGTTGGCGGGAGGTGCGATCGATGCCGCTTCTCTCGGAAGAAGGTAAAAAACAGAGGAAAAACTCCTCATGTTGACATTTCATCAGCGGCAACAGCACGGTACGAGAGTCTACAGAGGGTCGAACATTTGTTGCTATTCCAGAGAAGATCATGGAAAAGATCCGATACCAGGGAAATTCTCTAGAAGAGCAGATTTAGCGTGAACCGCGAGGTTCTTTGTCGTTTAGATGCTTCTGTACTCCATCCCGCGCAACTCAGGGCTCAATATATGGAGCCATCGTTGCTTCGACCCCGGAGCGGTTCCCAGGATCGTCCTATACCTCGAAGGTTGCCCTCGGAAAATACTCGCGTCAAGCACCTGATATTTTGCTTCTCGGGGCGATTCGGGGGCAAGAAATGAGCGACAAGCTGCTTTCTAAGAAGACTTCGGTTAACCGGTCGCGGAGTAATGATCGATTCTCAGAAGCGAAGACTTTTCCAGCGAGGAAGTCTGCAACGCTGAAACTTGGCTTCAACGATTTGAAAGGCCAGCTCCGGGATGAATGATTCACGTTTCCAGGAATTGGGCACAACCCCCGAGGATAGGATGACATATATTTTGTTATAGATAAGATCCGGTCGAAGCCACGCGTTTCCCCGAACGGACCGCGAGTCGATGGAGCGAGACCATACCCCCTTGACCGAGGATGACACAGCCTACAGCCGACGACGCTAGGAATCCGCATGCAGTGAATTCAATCCATTCCCCAGGAGTGATTCCCCTTCGCTCATTCTTTTGTACTCACGCAAGACGGACAAGATGAGCTGGTAGCCAATGTGGCGAACTTGGTCGAGCGGATACGGCTGGTAGTGATTCTCCTTCTGCAAGCAAATGACGAAGATCCTGAATCGCATTCCGCGGCCGAACAAGAGGTTCTCATGTATCATTCATCTGCTGGCCTAATGAGTTCCGAACATACCAGGAAATCGAAAACTGAGATTCCTAGCCCTTCGAAGAGAATGCACATGTGACCGAAATAGTCGAACCAGTCAAGCATCCGCACACATAACGTCTGCAGGACAGGCTCCTTCGATTGACGGAGTTTCTCGAGAACATTGATCTCAAGTTTCGCAGCTTCGCGGTACTTGTCCACGTTTTTGATGACTTTGAGTGCGAGTTTCTGGTCCCTGTAAATGTGATTGGACAAGAAAATTACGCGGAGTGCGATCCGGGAGGGGGGATACTTGTCTTGCTAACTACCTTAAACAGTCACGCCTCGGTCAGGTGGAGTCGCTCGATATACGAGGAGACTTCATGGCATGCCCTGTGCGCCAGAACAGAGTTCGATAGAATGAGGCTGCCGTGTTCGCCATAAACCCATTTAATGGGTCTGGCAATACATCTCTCCTCACTTAGTACTATATTTACCTACCCAAACGAGCGGGAAGTAATAGTTAGAGAGTCTAACTGCCGACTCAGCGACGCTTGTCGAACGCGTCAAGGTCTCGCTAATTCGAATGCTCAATACTCCCATCGTTGGTGAGTCGAGACTTCAGACAGAGCGACAGGACATGGGTCCAGCACATGATAACAAATAATTATGTAGTCATGATCATTCAGAAGGATGGTCAGGAATGACTCACGTTTCTTCGTCGAGGACTTCGACGACTTTTCCGAAAGTTCCCTCGCCCAACGTTGCTAGAATCACATCTGAAACACAGAGAAAAACACGGAGGTCACTTGAGACCGAGCTCGGGGTAAAATTCGAGGAGACCCTGCCTTAACATTTTCCGGAACCCGCCATTGGAAGACTCCCCGCACCAGTTGCCGCAGTGGTTGTATCTCGTGGAAGGATCTTAATATGATGGAGACGATTAAGAACACCCGCATACTTGGAACGAGTTCACAATCTTCGATGTCCGTCATCTGAGGATAGGGGAGCTCTGCGACGGCGCTCCTCCCTCACCCTCTAATTAACCCGACTTCTTTTTTTTATGTGCAAAGTTCGCCTCCCCCGTCCATTGAAGCAATCCCATGGCGTTCCGACGTGGGGTTCATTCGTCGGTCGGTCAGCGGACCGCATCGGTGACCCGCCGGCCAGCTGACTGATTCGGCTCTAGTTCTTTAAACTTCAACTTAATGCTCTATTCCTGCGGCAGTCGCGTCGACGACGAGCTCTGATTAGCGACGGAGTATAACCCTTCGCTGCTCTTATTCGTCGTCGTCGTCGACGACAACCGAGATGACGATGAAGCCGGCCCCGCGGCCTCGGAGCAAAGCAAGCAGAAAGCAAGCGGTAGGCAGGCAGGGTTCTCGAGCTCGTTTTCTGCCCTTTTTCTTTTCCCTCGCAGCCCTAACTTATGGCCTTGCGCCGCCGCTGCCGTCGTCGTCGTTGCCACCGCCGCCGCGTGTGCCTTAATCCCGGAGTCATATCTCGCCTGGCCGCAAATGTTCTCCTCTTTTGCTTGGTTAGCTGGCTGTTTAGCGGGCCGCATGGCTGGCGAGCGAACTCGCGAACCCGCAAACAGCCCGTCAGAGCCTCCGCTGAAATAGCGAAAAATCAGATCTTCTACATCTTTCCGTTCGAGAGTGGTCCGGTGGTACTTCTCGCAAATCCTGTCACTCTCCACTCTCGACCCGCATGACCCTCGGTCCTTTAGAGCCCTTGCCCACATCCGAAAAAAAATGAGTGCCTTAGAGGAGGAGAAATAGGAATCCGGAAGAAGGAGGAAGTGGATGTGACGCATTCCGAGGAGCAATCGAGACAAAGTTATCGTCATCAGACTGGACTTCTTCAGAGGAATGGTGACACCGGAAGTCGCTCCGGAAGCGTCGAACGCGTCTCACTCACTCAGTCGGTCACTTCGATTACGCGATCCCGATATTCAGGCGTTTGAATTGAAAAGATATTCGAGATTCCGCACTGATACTACTCGAATATCCGGAAATATCGCTTGATCAGCATTTCAGAGCTGGAGTCTCTGGGTTAGGAAAATCTCCGCATAATCCTCAAATACTCACATCTGTCGCTGATGACGTCTCCTATTTTGTAGACTAGATGTCCCTCGGGATCGTCGTGCACCGAAGCTTTGCGCACCTCCTGCGGTGGGGGCACGGGAGTGGACGGGAACGAAGAAAAAGAAAATGGTAGTTAGAATGAGTCGAAAACGCTTGCCAATTAAAAGTTGTCTAACGACTGCTGAGTAGGTGGACTACTAGGAAAAAGACCCAACGGCTTCGCGCGGAAGCTCTCTACCCATCACACATGAGTTGCTACCGATGCCATGCTGTCGTCGGTGACGATAGTTTCCTTCGTGTCGGTGGTGACTCGACACTTTGAAGGCTGACTTTTGAACAAGTTCTTATTTCTCTCTTCTCGGAAAGTCGATGACGCCCCTTAAAAGAGCTCGAGCTGCCTGTGGGACGTTTCCGAGGATTCTCCGTCGCGACGTGATATGTATAATCCTTCAAGGATTTAGTTGCACATTGTTTCAGGGCTGTCCACCGACCGTACGGATTCCGGTTGAGTGTCGCCTGATCGAGTCACTCAAAATTATTGTGTTCCGGTATTCCCCATATCTGCCTACCTCATGGAGCCTGATGAATGATCATTAGAGCTGCGAAGTTCAGGCACTAAAAAGTCGAAGAAAAGGCAGGCAAAAAGGCACCGAAAAACACCGGAATAGGCACTGAAACTGGGCAAAATAGGCATAAAAGGCAGGTGTTTTGCCATCTAAATCACTTCGATTGGCTCCGATTCGGTGATCCCCACCCCAGTTTAGAGCTCTATCCAGTTTACGGAATGACACAACGCCACCCGGGGGAAGAATTTCGTTCAGTATTATCGCGCAACCACGTCCTGAACTCTCGAACACCATGATTTTTCCAAAGCACGCACCTCCCGGCCGAGGGGTGTATCCGGATCAGTAGTGACAGGACTCAAGACCCGAAATTCCCGGCATTCTCCTTGAAGTTTGACGCCGATCAAGCCAAAATAGGCATTTATGGCAGGGAAAACCGAAAATAGGAGAAATTGCCATCTTTCCGCTGAAAAAGGCAAAATTAGGCGTTTGAGGCATAATGCCTGGACTTCGCAGCTCTAATGATCATATGATCATATTGTGATTGAACATATTGACAAACATATGATCACATGATCAAATTGGTAGATGTCTGAACATCATAAATCATGACACGCGCTGTACATCCACTCGGAGCGCTTCGGAATTGGATATTTGTCTTGCATTCTCGCCCGTATAGGGTCGCTCCATCTAGGCTCGTTCCTTCGTTCGCCAGCCCGGCCATCCGTTCCGTTGTCTGTCGCTTCGTCTGCTAGTTGGACCTTTGGCTGAATCGGAATTCTCTCAATGTCCTATCGGAAATCCAACTCGGTCCGTGTCCTTCCGACGGTCGAGGGGGAACCAACTTGGTCGGTCTGTCCGTCTGTCACTTGCTCGCTCGGCCGGATGGTGGGCCCGTTCGTTCGACGACGACAACGCCGTCCTCGGCCTTCCCCGTATATTCTTCCCGGTCGCGAGCTTTTCTATCTCTCTATTTTCTTAGCTCCTCTCTGTTCTTTAGTCCGCTTCCGCCGCTAAAGGATCCTGTTCGTCTCTCGTTCTTCTTTATATGCGTCGGTCTGTACAAACGAGCGGGCTCTGAGTTAGGCTCTTGTCTCTGGTAGTATCGCCCACCGGTCGTACTGTATATTTGCGTTTTCGCGTCACTGCTCCTCCTCCCCCCCCTTCTGGAAATACCCACGGAGAGTCCCGCTCTGATCAGCTCGGAAATGAGCTACTCTTGGGATTTCCTTCTTCAACAGCAAACACGCAGCTGCGCATTCTGCCGCGACCTGTTTCTCCTCACCGATAGAAGTATGTTGGCCCGCGGAGGTCTCGACGCCTGATCGCCTGCCCGTCTAACTCGTGGCTGTTTCCATCACCACCGCTACCGCGAAGTGCCGATGACCAGTCGACGAGGTGACAGCATACGAAGAGGAGAAACTCCATGAATGTCCCGCCTGTCTGCGGTGGACGACGGGATCTCAAGATAGTCGGAGCGGCCTCACGTCGACCGCTGCGCGGCTGACAACTTTCCCGGGACGGCGCTCTAAGTAGCGAGGATCGGACGAACTAAATGGAGCTCAAGACTTCCGGCATGATCAGCGCGCGCCGCTCGCCGGATTCTCATCAAAGTCTGACAGCCACCTAACATTCATAATTGATCTATTCGGAGAGCACGAGTGCTCGATTCTTGAGGCGCGAGCTTCTCGAACAGCAGATCATAATCCAATACGTGAAAACTTTACGTGAAGATGAACCGTGATTTACGCGATATCCATCGTTTCTATGTCAGTGAGAGACTTGGCTATGTGAGTGAGAAACGAGGGAGCTCCGTGAGGTCAGCGTACGCTTGACATAGCTTCGATCGAAGCGTCATCCAACTCGCTCGGAGAGACAGCCAGTGTCACACTTCCGCATCGAACGACCATGAAACTCAACGACTCGAATTAGAGCGCGACTCTCGTACTCGAGTTTTTCCCCGAGTTCTCGAAAATAACCTTTCTTAGTTATTAACAAGCATGGACTGTCAACGTTCATCGCGCTGAGTCGAATAATCAATTTCTCGAGCGTACACGTGCGCCTCGCTCTCATCCTCCTCTCTTGTTAGGTCCAAAATGGTCCGTCCACGGAGTTCCTTGACGACGTCGCTCCGTCGCGGACGGAATCGAAGGAGGAATTCGGGCTCCTCACGTTCTCAGAGGGGAGCATCACATGCCGGAATTCGCATCCGGAACTCGTCAGAGAATCGAGACTATTACTAATTAAATTAAAATATTTATTATCATCATCCGTCGACGAGTATCCGCCCCAGCGCTTAGGAGATCCCGCATTTGATACGAATAACGTCTCTCTCGATGATGTCATTCGGTCGACAACGGGCGAAAAGCCCGGAACAGTTGTCACTTTCCTCACCCAATGCCCCAGATATTTCGCCTCTTCGTTGGAGAACAGCATCTCGAGAGGTCCAAGTTCGAGTCAGCACGGGAGGATGAGCTCACGTTGTGTCTCCGAGAGCGGCGGGTCGGCATAGGTTTCTGTGGGCTGCTAACCTGGATACACGTGTTGGCCAACTCTCCGGCGTCACCGAATATTTCCGAGTGATCCTCGATATTTTCCTCGACGAGCTTCAGATTCGAGCCGCACCGCTGCTCTAAGAAGAAACTGTGCCAAACCGAGAGTTGGTGCTCGAGTTCGAGGCTCGAGATGCCGCAGCTCACATGAGCCCAGCGCGGTTTCCATGAGTTTTAACAGGTGGGAACTATCAGGGCCCGGTGCGGCGTAGTCCCGGAGCAGGACGGCTTTCAATGCCGATTTGAATACAGGAGGAATATTGCTTTGGGAAACGTTTCAAATTAGACAGCACGGACCGCTCCTGGACAAAGCTCTGCCAATACGGAATCGCGGCGAAGCCTCCGTGTCGAAGGCTGCCCGAAAATCCAGGCCGCTGAAATACGTCATGCTCATGACGGGTTGAAGGAGTTCATTTATCGAGTGCAAAATCTCTGACTCACCGGATGCAAGAGGTTATCGGCCGTCTCATCCATGTCCTTGTGAAGCCTGGAAGACAGCTTCCTGAGAATCGAAGCGCACATCACTCACTCGAATCTTCCTTGATTCGGACGATTGTTGACGACTCGCTCGATAGTACGCCACGGCACACGCGAGCACGCATTCACGCACGCAGAACGACACGCATATACGTTTGTACGCCCACCGACGAGCACTCGATGTTCGCCGGTGCTCGAGTCGGTTGTTTCTTTGCACCGCGACTGAGATCGCCTGGTCTGCTTTGCAGGCCAGCTAGCTGTTCGCTCGCTCGCCCGCTCGATCGTTCTGTCTGTCTGTCGTCCGACTCAGAGCGCTTCTCCTGTTCTCTTTCTCTCCTGACTGCTCGTCGGTCTGGTGGTTGAAAATAGACCTGGTGTCCGAACTAACCGGTGGGAAATCGCCACCACCGCCGCTGCCAGCGCCGCTACTACCCTGAAGCCTCCAGTGCCGCCGCATCCGCGTCTACCGGTCAGAACTAGAAAATGAAGAAAGAGGAAAGTACTTGGGTCGACCTCTACCGCAACAAGATGGAACACAGACCGTAACTGATGAGGTCCTCTTTCGCCGACGCTCGTTGACAGTGCGAATGCAACCAAACAGACTTCACCGAGAAGGAGCGATAATTCGCAGATGAAGCCGTTAGTGTTTTACGGGCCAACTGTCATGAGGTCCGCTTCGGATTCCCTCTCATTGCGAGTAGGTACTTGATACCAGAGAGGAGAATTGACCGGGGACAAGGTGTTCTTCGCCGCAGCGATTTACGATGCGTTCCTCTATCTGCCACATCCGACATCTCTCGGGAGTGGACTCTAGTTTGGCGGTGCACGCTATCCGTATAAGCTTCAAGTTTCACGGTGCGATTTTCTTCGGCAGACCGTCTTCCCTTCCCCGTTCGTCTGCCAGTTCTCGGGAGACTCCACAATCACCAACGCGGGGCTCCAGTGCGAACGGACGACAGCATAGGCTCTGATCAGCTTCTTCCGAGGGCCCTGCCAGCAGTCCGTCGTTGTCCGCTCCCCCGAGGGGCCTGGCGCTGTCTCTCGCTCACTCAGTGAGTCAGTAAACGAGGGGGCAGATTCGCTCGTAGCGGAAGAGAGACGCTTCATTGGTTCGTTTTTGATTTCGATAGATGGTGAGATCTGACGAAGTGCCTAATTGCCGTGGCTAACACTGGTCTCTTATTCTCAGGAGTAATTATGAACTTCCTTTTCTCGTTGTCCTCCGAAAAGTCTGGCCAGGCATAGGGCCGCTGGTACGCAGACGCAATTAAGTGACAACTCGAAGTTCTGACGTCCTGAACGAGACGGCTCAAGTTAAGAACGCTGTTTGGTGTCATCGCTCGTGTTGTGCGGCGGAGGCGGCACGGGTTGTTCAGAGCAGGGATTTCCTAAAGCTTCACCAAAATGTATCGCCTTTCCAATTTTTCGCTCTAGCGATTTTTTAGATAAGAGCTCCTTTCATTAATATATATATATATATTCGCACCCTTTGGCGCTCGGTCCGTGGGAAAGATCTGATCCAAAGGTCTGAGCCCCATGTACTGTATTTTCTTTCAATTATGATAACGCTGGAATCAGGGTTCTGATCGCGATCGTTTCCAGTATTCCTTCCACTGACGTCATCGTTCCATCACGAAACTCTCGACTCCAAGCCCAATGTCATCCTCAGACCGCCCAGAATCCATTGCGGAATGTCGAGCAGCCTCGCGAATGCGACTTGCGACCCCCGTCGACTCATTTCGTCCACCTTGACGGGTTGTTGAACCGCACACGGCGAGCTGAAAAAGGACATTGCGTCGGCGGACGTAGCCCCGTTCTTCTACACTCTATACCCATCTTTCGTTGTCACTTACTCACGGCAGCGGAGAACACCTCAAAAGTATGACCCTTTTGAGGTATCTTGCCACTCTCCGCACAGCCCGTAATTTCGGCTCTGATGGGTTAGCTGGTCGCTCTGCCTAGTGGCTGGCCTTCCGGGCGGTCAGCCTTCCCTCCTGCGCGCCTGCCAGTCCGCCATCATCGTATCTATTCCGTCAGGACGGCTGGCTCCGCGGTAGCTCGAACGGCCGGCTATACTACGCTTTCTCACTTTTCACTCTCATGCCATCCTGCTCGTCCAGATTCGTTGGTCCGTCTACGTGTTCAGTATCGACAGCGCGGACACTCTGGCTGAGGTCGAATTTTCTGTAGTTTTGCCGCCAGGAGCTCGCCGCGGGAGGATCTCTGGAGATGTTCCCTAGGAATCGCTCACGACCCTCAATTCGAAGATACATTATAAAGAAAAATTGACCGAGATTTCTCAGCAAGGAGAAACCGCTCGCGCTGGAACGTCAACGCCTTCAAATCAGTTGATGATCGAATCCCGGGTAGGATAATTATAATTATCTATTAATCTGATTGGATCTTCGTGAATGAGCTCCGATCGGGGTAATAAGGGAATCAGTAGGAACAGGGCACTTTCTGCAGAAAGATCGGGGAATATTCCCTTCCCGTGAGGACAATCGCGCACCAAGCTCGGAATCTCTTCGTTGCCTAAACCGAGACGCCGTTGACGCGCTGTCTCTCCTGACTCCAAAGAATCCTCCCGCGCCCGGGCTATTCTCTCCCGCCGCTGGGAACGGTTTGCTAAAGCGGTCCCGGTCTTGCTTTAAGAGCTTTTCCACTTCCTGGCTGAGAGTTGGGGAGCCAACCTTCCGGCCTGATGGTGCCGACGTCTTCCCTCGTCGAATCGGCCCACCGATTGTCGGTCTCACTACTCCGGCGCCGCTCCCCATCAATCTGTCGATCCATCCATTACGAGAGCACCCACTGAGTGTTCATGTCGACAACGGTCGATTCTCTCCGGCGGCTTTGTGATGATTGACTCGTCATAATGGTGTATGTGTTCGACCAGAGATGGTTGAGGGACCGAGTGGAAGAAAGACGGGACCTAGAAGAAAACACTGAGGGGGAAGCAGACAGTTTTAACGACTCTTTCCCGTTCTCCCCCTCTTCTGATGGTGAGGCCGGCAGCGGAGGTGAACGCTCCAGTGGTGTCGCCGACCGGGGTCGTCTGAGCAAGGTCAACCCGCAACATTTGTACTCTCCTTACATCGGAAGCAGCGTCGCTTCCCGACTCGGAGAGTTCCCCATCTTATTCGATTCGTTCGATCCCGATCCCCATATTTTGCTCCGACCTTACTCCACATCCGGACAGTGCGCGGCGACGAGAAAACTCCGCGCTTCAAGACAGGCGTCCAAGCCTCGCCGTGTGTGCTGGCCTAGTCTTTCGGAAGAGCGAATTCCCGAGCGTTCCCGACATAACTCGTCATATGCGGGCGCTGAGGGTCCCGGTGCTGATCGTATCGCCGCATCTCCCGACGTCGACGCGGTCGCCCTTGTTGTCCCTGTGTTGTCTCTTTGGAGGCCGACAGCGTCTTTCAAGTCGAGTAGTGATTCGGAAGGCATCAGCCGGAGCAAAGGCGGCACCGGCAGCTTAAGGGACCTTGGGACGTCCTGATACCGGGCCGAGCGATGTGCGGGAAATTAGGTCAAGCCTGAGTTTGAGAGAGGGAACCGAGAGCGTCACATGCCGGGAGCGTTTCGGAGCGGAGAGGGGAAACTAGGACGACTGTCCGGGAAAAACGGAAGAACCCAATGAGAAAGGGAGACGAGGAGGAGGACACGGAAAAACGAGGGGCAAAGCTCGAGGCAGCGATGGAGGCGATGGAGGGAGCTGGGGAGAACCTCCTGCCAGTCCGGGGGAGAAGGAGCGACCGCCAGCGCAATAGTGGAGAGAACCTCGTCGGTGGGCGAGGGCAAGCCGTCGACCGAACCTTCCGATAAGCATCCCGCTTCCTTGTCCAAGTCCTTTGCCCACTTCACTCCCTCACCCTCTGCCCGTCGGTCCGTTCGTCTGTCTTGTCCGCCTTATCCCCGCCTCGCCCACACTAGTGCGAGTGAGAGAATGGGAAAGAGAGAGAATGCGCGTTGGTGCTAAAAATAGATCGTGTAGTTTCGGTTCGCTTCCCTGCTCTTCCCCTGCACCCTCCCCCCTCTTATCCGTCTTACCCACAGACTGGCCTCTGCTTTCCTCTCAGCCTGTTTGCCCTTTTCAGCCCCTCCTGCTGTTCGCCGGATCCCCTGCCCTTCATTCGAGTCGGTCGGGTGGTCGGTCAGTCAGTCCGCCGGTCGGTCGGTCGGACGGCCGGCGGGGATTGCCGATTCCCCGATTTGCACTTTCCCGGGGAGGACCTTTTACATTTTTCAATCACTTCCCTCCTCGATCACATTCGGTCGCAATTTATGCGACATTCCCAATCGAGGCAACCCTCGAGGCTCTTCTGACAGGAACGCGCGTGACTTACGTCGAGCGTGAACAGCGAGGATGTTCGACTTACGACACTCGTTTCGACGATGTCTATAAATGAAGTTGTTCGCCGTAATTGCGAGAGACGACAATTCACGATTTCCAGACAATCACGACAAGAGCTCAACCTAGGCACCCTAACTCAAATAAATACCCCCGCTCGCTCCCCAGTAGTAGATTCTCCGGAAAGGAAGCCGCATCTCCCGTCGGGGGGCCTCAAGGACAAATGAAAAAGCTTAGGACGAGGAGACTCGCGGAGCGACTTTTTGAGTTGATCTCGAGCATGTTTTTTTCTCTCTTCACGCGTCTCCTCACGTTTCCTGATTTTTGTCGACCCTTGCACGCAACTCAAGCATCCGCAATTTACATCAGCCCCCAGAAGATGCTGGGAGACCTCCACGGGAGGAGTCGAGCACGGGCGCCGTAGTGATCATAGGTTCCGGGTGTTCGACAATCCACAGAAAAACGTCGTTTCAAACGAGAATGCATCCGGAATGGTACCCCTCCTCCATTCTGGGTGCGATCACTCCATCTTTATTTGCATTCCACAATCGGACGGAAGACTTTTCGGGGTCTGGAGCCTCTCCCGGAATTCTCGCTCACGCAGAAAAGTCGCCGTCGGATGAGACGATGAGACTCGGATCAGATACTTCACTGCATCTGACTCCGGTCCACCTCATCGATTTGGGAATTAGAA